TGAACAAGAATTGGATGGAACTAGAAAAGAAGGCGGAGGACAGGGTGGGTTGGAGAATGCTGGTCAGCGGCCTATGCTCCATTGGGAGTAACAGGCGTAAGTAAGTAAGTAATGTAATCCATCTTATGAGTTTTGAGTTCTAGTTAATTACCACCTTGAAGCTCTGTTATTTATATCTGTCTTCAAATATATATATATATATATATATATATATATATATATATATATATACTGATAATCGTTGTTATTCCAATTCTTTCTATCATCGATGTTTAACACTTCATATTATGTTATATCTGCGTGTTACACTTTAACACGAATACAGTTGTAAGTAGCTGAAGAGAAATTAAAAATAAAGTGAATTTATATCATTATGCCTCGAATTTCATTTTGGCGTTATTCAAATTTATGAACGAAACCTCTAAAATAAATCTTAGGTTCATCTTTCATTCAAATAATAAAGATCATTTTAACTTAAGATAGGTAGATTTTAGTAAAACCGTTATAATTCGTACTTTTAACTCTAGATTTCGCCACACTTTCACGCGTTCTCTTAGACACGGTCCGATGTATTTTAACGGGACTCCACTAAATCACGTAAATTCACAGTCTGACCATTTAATTGCGATAGCAGAAGTGCATTGACACAAAGTGCACAGCAAGCACAAGTTTGCTCAGTGAAACGAATTACAATATTAAATCAGTCTATTAAATGATATATCCTTATATGTCTGATGCAGAGACATGAACTTTTTACTTCAATAACTACAAAAGTATTCACAGATATATGCTTGAAAAACCTGTTTTTCAGTGTCCTCACGTATGTCATCTATTGTGTCATTTGAAGAGCATTCAAATTTTTTCATTCCCTATCCCACACCTTGTCACCAGATGATAACGTCAATAAAGTATTCTTTTAAGAAAGATAATTAGGGTTTGTGTGAAGTTTTCTAGTTCATATCAAAGTTTGTGTAACCTAGGTTTTTTATTGCTACATCGGTTTGTAATTAACGGCATATATAGGATCAGCAAATGGTAAGTCATTTACTATTCAACCAATGGATTATAAGTTCTTCCTGGCTATCTTATCAGCACCACAAAACGTTCCACAAGTGATCAGTGTTAAGCAATGACTCAGATCTGTTTGTTTCCCGTATGTTTGAAGTTGTAATTTTATGCAGAAAGGCAGTAAAAAATCCATATGCATCTAAAACGTCGCAAAGCTACCAAATAGGTATTTGTATTAATGTGTAAAAGACATGTTTATATGAAAAATAATAAAGGTCAAACAAATAAAATAAAAGTTCATTTGAAAATAATCAAGGGGAGAGAAAGAATAAGAAATTGTTATGTTATCCTAGGCCACACCCTACATGGATTCAATAATTCCCACAAGGTAATTACTTTCACACTCGGATGGGAGGGAGATTTAGTATTTTATCTTCTTCATATTTCAGTAAAGCAATTTCTGGACGGCTCACAATGGGATTCAGTATGTCTCAAACCAACATATAACGAACAAAGTCGGTTTCCTTTGAATCAGAAGAGAGGGTTAATTCAATCTCTATACCCGACTACCAGAAGAAACTGTACCAAGAAATCTATCGATAAAAAACTGCATATCATCCAGCGGATACCCAATGAGAATAACTTTCATGTTCATTCAAAGAAAAATAATACCCAAACAACGAACGGAAATAACATCTAAAATACTCGGAATACTTTGTTTATGAACGTTGAATCCAAAGCCCATATAGCGGAGGAAATTTTAGTGTCGATTAACAAGATCGCTAAGAAAAGCTTCTTAGTCACTTATACTTCGGCTTGTTTTTGCCAGTGAACGAATAATTTAAGAATACGTTAAGGATAAATTCCATCTTTGACTCAATTAGATTAATAATCAGTTTACTTGTTCTTCTGGACCAGATTATATTGCACAAAGCATACTGTCTCCAAGTGAATTTCACAAGTATTACTCAGCATCGTTATTTAAAGGTGAATATAAAACGATTAACAGTTTTATTTGCTAATAATTAGTCAACCCCGGTCACATAATCCCTCCAGAATTAGCTTTCCAAATCATAGATCGGTTTGGGTAAACTGACTGAAAACGTACAGTTCAGAGATCTGTGCACAGCCAGAGAGTTGACAGTTCATCGTTAAAAAGCTTATCTATGAGTTCAGCAACGATATATTCAAGCTATCATCATATTTCGATCTTGAGAACTAAAATTAATAATAATACATCCCTCCCCATTTTACATGTTGTACTTTATTTATCCATGTTTTCTTCTTCTTCTTCTTCTTCTTCTTCTTCTTATTATTATTATTATTATTATTATTATTATTATTATTATTATTATTATTATTATTATTATTATTATTATTATTATTATTATTATTAGCTATGAGTAGGATCGTATAGCTTTGGTAAATAAAATCATCGAAATGAAACTAGTTTCTTTCTCAATAATCTTATTATCACGTACAGACAACATTAAAAAGTGAATATTGTTGTAAACGTTGTAAGAAATCAAAAATGACAGTTGTATTGGTATTTCAACACTAATTGTGAACGAATGAACACAAGAAAAACACGAGTTGAAGTAGTGTATAGAAAATATATTGTGATTACCAAGCAAGAAACAGCGTGATAGAATTAGGATGGGTATAATTAGAAAAGGATTTTAGTTAAACTGAACTGTTTCTTAAATGGAATTAGTTTGCTGTTACCCAGTTTGACGCAAATAGAATTTGAATGGAACTGATCAGAACAAGAGAAGTGTTTAGAAATTGTGCCACAAACGAATATACTTAACAAAATTGATACAATAAGATCGTCATACAAGCATGCAAGCAACAATATAAGCAAAAAAGATGTTTTTCAGTCACGTGACAGTTTGATTTTATAAGCAGTCCACCTGGATACAAATGTGTATAATCCTTTGATGGAGCATTATGACAAGCGTCCTTCACAAATTAAAAACAATTCAGTGGCTAAATCATTCAGATTCTTGTCAGCTGACGCGCACAGCTTTCATGTTAAAAATTTGATTAACAACCATTTTGGAAGCATTTTCTTCATACAAGCTAGTTCAATGACTACAATAAGACGTATCCATCTGTTCGGAAATTCAGTATGAGACAAATCTATACCACAATAAAACACAAAAAGAACTAAGGTAATAACATTTTATCTTGCGAAATAAATTTTCTGTAGATTGAAGGTGATTCCATATCAATATTCCTAGAACACGATAGTAAGCGAACCACCAGTCTTATTAATATTATTCAGATTATTTCTGGACAAGCGTGTACTTCCAAAAGGATTCAACGTGTTTTGTAGCAAATGAAATGACAGGAGACATGTGATCTGGAAAGCTGAACAATATGAGGATTGGTAGGAAACTCGGATTTTCCATCCACGCAGAAACCAACTATAGTGAATCATCACCTAACTCTTAAACGTTAGAAAATCATTTATCCAAATCGGTAATATAAGTACATTTCTTTTATTATAAATCTTACTATTTTAACTGCCATTTAAGTTACTAGTTCCCGGGCGACCTGTTTCCTAAATAAATGCGTGGAAACCTATTTCAAAATATTTATTCGTGATTGGTAAATAAATGAGTAAATGACCTAATGGAAGAATTAAATATCCATAAAGATAATTCAAGCCAATGAGTTTTTGGTCTTGAACACCGTTAAACACTGTGTAACAATATAATAGTCTATATAGTAGACCTGGAAATTTTCCCAGCAATGTGATTTTTCAGTGTTAACTCTTAGAAAACGTTTTTAAGTGTTTTTGGTAGCTTTGCGACGTTTTAGATGCATATGGATTTTTTACTGCCTTTCTGCATAAAATTACAACTTCAAACATACGGGAAACAAACAGATCTGAGTCATTGCTTAACACTGATCACTTGTGGAACGTTTTGTGGTGCTGATAAGATAGCCAGGAAGAACTTATAATCCATTGGTTGAATAGTAAATGACTTACCATTTGCTGATCCTATATATGCCGTTAATTACAAACCGATGTAGCAATAAAAAACCTAGGTTACACAAACTTTGATATGAACTAGAAAACTTCACACAAACCCTAATTATCTTTCTTAAAAGAATACTTTATTGACGTTATCATCTGGTGACAAGGTGTGGGATAGGGAATGAAAAAATTTGAATGCTCTTCAAATGACACAATAGATGACATACGTGAGGACACTGAAAAACAGGTTTTTCAAGCATATATCTGTGAATACTTTTGTAGTTATTGAAGTAAAAAGTTCATGTCTCTGCATCAGACATATAAGGATATATCATTTAATAGACTGATTTAATATTGTAATTCGTTTCACTGAGCAAACTTGTGCTTGCTGTGCACTTTGTGTCAATGCACTTCTGCTGATAGAATTCCCTCAGTCGTGTTTGTAATCTCACCATTAAGGTAAGCAACAAATTGAAGACTAGACTATAGATGAAGGGATCCGGTAGGATGTTCTGAAACTAACTTTTGCATCCACAAAGACTCGTCAGCAAAAGTATATCTCCATAGTTTCTGGAACTAATGCTCTCACTCCATCAAGCAATCTAACATAAGCCACACACAGTCAAAAATTTAACTATGAAGTAATTTTGGTATCGGATTAGATCTCAAACTGGGACGACTGCGGTAATACACCTTCAACAATCTAACAAAATAAATTGCACGGTTTTTCGAAGGTACATAGTTGCGTGATGACATTGTGAACTTTAATCCATATGGTCCAATCAGCATTAACGACTAGACATGAAATTAGTTACTATCCAATGATTAAGTAGTCTATCTACTTTAAAATTACATGAAAATCGCAGTTTGGGTGGTTCATTGAAAATATCACTGATTTCGGAACTGAGTGATGCATATTCAAATGTCTAAAGGAAGATACATTTTATCCAACTGGCAAACATGTCTTGCTGATGACTCACCTCAAATGCGAAACCAAGATCTAAAGCTTCTTGTGAGTTATTTAGTAAATTTATGCAACCTTGTCTATAATTATTTAACATATATGATACTATATTGAACATGAGATTAGAACTGCGTTATTAATAGAGTATTCATAAATTTCAAGGTGAGTGATATTTTAAACAATACTGAAAATAGTAGCATGAAAAAAAGTCTGCAAATAATACATGCAAGTCAATAGTCCAATTAACAAACACAAAGCAGATGAAGTGGAAACAAACTAGTGGTAATAGAATCTTACGATTATACAAAGAAAATTAGGAGAGCTAGAAACATGGTAGAATATACGAATGTATATGTTGCTTCTGAATGCAGAATTGGTGAAATGCTAAAAACTACTTATGTTTGTAAGTTTTTCATTCAGAAACTCTACGTTATATTTAAAGATTTGAATTGCTCATTGATACATATTCTTTTTTCGGTAGTCCAACACAATAATCCTCAGAAGTGTGCTTTAAAAAATGAGACTGTTTGGCTAAAATAACCAGCTTTGTTTGGGAGATCAAGCTAAAAGACAAGCACTGAGGTAGCCTAGAGCAACCGTTTGCTGTAAACATATTCATGGGCCAAACGTTGATTGAGAAAACAATCCAAAACCAAACAAAATAGAAAACATTTTCCGCAGATCACAAGCTAACGTACTTTTACTTTATTCCTTCGTAAAAATATACAAATATCAATATATAGTTAGAAAATCCACCTGGAGAAGCCCAAGGTGCCTAGATCATTTTTATTTCATCGACAACACGGAAGAATTATCGGCAATGGTGAAAAATTTATATTACTTAATAAAATGTTATCAGCTAAGGCTCGTACTAACTACAATTTCTATCTAATATAAACTGGCTGTGATTCGTATTGGCTAACAATCTTTTACATCTAACACATTAAGTTTGTTGTACACACTTGTAATGTAATTTAAAACACTTAATTTTAAGATACATTTGGTAGTACCCCAATCGATTTCAGTAATTAAGATGACATCGTGTATTCCGCCGTAAAATATTTATCTAATATTCTTCGAAAACTAATGACATGTTTTAAAAGCGCACATACACAAACAATCAATAGATTTGTATTTCTCAAAAATATATAATGGAAAGACTTGCAGTAGTATCATTAGACTGTTATATACTCAACCCAAGCAAAACCTGTTATTCGATCAGCGACCGACATATTCTACTTATACAAATAAATACATGGAGGATGCCTTTATCATCCGCGACGTAAACATACCCTACATGGTAAATAAGAACTTTCGTCTAAATTTGAACGAATAGTTTCACAATATTTGGGCGCCGAGTTAATTTGAGACATTAAAAAGAAGAATATATTTGTAAAATCTCAGCGAATGAATTTTAAGTAAATCCAACGTTTCGCCTGGCAATCTGGTCCAAGCTTTTTCAAGGAAAATATAATCAGACAACAAAATTATCGAATATAATTAGGTACATGGTTCTTCGGTTTACTGTACACTGAATAAGTCATCCAATCGACGTGAAGGATTTCTTTATAGATAGGTATTTGTATTAATGTGTAAGAGACATGTTTATATGAAAAATAATAAAGGTCAAACAAATAAAATAAAAGTTCATTTGAAAATAATCAAGGGGAGAGAAAGAATAAGAAATTGTCATGTTATCCTAGGCCATAGAATGACTTAAGGATTATAAGGTAAATTCAAGGTTATGACAAATTGTTTTGTATGTGTTATGGAACCAAAACGTGTTAAGATAACAGAATGTGTTTATATGCAAGTGATGTGAGAAGAAATTTCATTCAACTTAATATTGACTACGGTCTGTGTATATTAAGAAAACAAATCATTTTTATATATGAAACGAATCAAAATGCCACAGCCTACATTAAATGAAGATAAGTAAACAAAATAAAAATAAACGAGGAATGTATATGTAATTGAAGTGTGTTATTTTTAAATGTTCCAGTCAATTGTTTAACATATTCAGATAAGATAACGGATTTGAATCATTGAACGTATTATCTATCAATTAGTTACTACGGCATAAATATATCAAATGGCAAAAAAGGAGATCAGGTTTACTTATTAATTATTAGTTGCCATGGGGCAGCTAGTTGTATTCCATCCCTCCTATTAATATTGTTTAAATTAGCCCATATATGTAAGGCTTCGGCTGTTAGTCGTTCTTTGTAAGAATTAAATCCTTTTTGAATGATTCTCGTGCCATTGAAATCAACTGTATGACCCGATTCCATTGAATGTAATGCTATCGCTGATCTGTTCTCAAGCTTTTTTACATCAATTGAGGATTTAGGAATATGCTTTAAGCACAGTTTGTGTTCTTTCACCCTCACATTCAGTTGCCTTGATGTTTCACCTACATACGTTGCATTACAATCATTACATTTGATTTCATACACACAATTCTGTTGATCATCCTTGTGTATTGGATCTTTGATTCTTACTAGTTTTGATCTTAGAGTATTGTTTGTTCGAAAGAATACTCTTATATTTTGACGAATTAAAATCCTTCTGATGTCTTCTGAGATACCTTTACGATATGGGATCACTGCTGTATTCATCCAATCTTGCTTAACTCTTTTTTTAAAAATATCATTCCGTTCTTCATTCTTAATTATTCTTTTAATAAAACCTTTCGGATAATTATTCATTAATAGAGTGGATACAACTAAATTCATTTCCATTTTTATATCATCTGGTTCAGTGACAAGTTTTTTGACTCTGGTGATCGAATTTTTGGCCACTGTCATTTTGGTCGCGTGTGGGTGCACAGACTTAAAATCTAAAAATTTTCCTGAATATGTAGGCTTACGGAATATATTAATTTTTAAAAAATCATTATCCTTCCTTTCAACCAGGCAGTCTAGAAACGGTAATCTGCGTTCAGTCGATTCCAACTCTTTAGTAAACTTGATTTTGTCATCTAAGTTGCTGAACCGTTGGAATAGTTCGTCTAAACCATCTCGTTTTATGATGACAAAGGTATCATCTACGTATCTTACCCAAATTTTTGGTGGAATGGAACACATTGAGATAGCAATTGTTTCCAATGAATGCATGAATAAATTAGCCACAATTGGAGAGACAGGTGATCCCATAGCCACACCTTCTGTTTGTCTGTACAAAACTCCTCGAAAAATGAAAACCGTTGAATGTAAGCAAAGCTCCAACGCTCTAATAATGTCTGTTGGGTCTAGAAGGCAACGCTATTTAAGTTCAATGTCAGAATCTAACAGATTATATACAATATCTAAAGCTTTTTTAATAATAACATTAGTGAACAATGAGCAAACATCAAAACTTGCCATTATTTCATCATCTTCTATCCGAATATTACTGACAATGTTTTTGAAATCATTAGAATTTTTTATTCCATATTTTATTACACTTTCATATGGTTTAAGAATTTTGGCCAAGTATCTAGAAAGATTATAAGTTGGTGAATTAATGTAATCAATCACAGGTCTTAGTGGTACATCTGTTTTGTGTATTTTTGGTAGGCCATAAAATCTACACGGGTTATTGCTTTTTGGATATAAAGAGAACCATAAAGATGATCCTAGTTTGGGCTTTAAATTCTGTAGCAATTTGGCCGTTTCAGCTTTCAACTTATTTAAAGTAGCTCTATATTTGCTCTTCATGATTTTTTCATACGGTCCATTATTGAGATGTTCATTGACTTTTCTTTCATAGTCAGAATTATTCATAACAACAGTGGTGTTTCCCTTGTCTGCTTTCATAATAACAATTTTTCTGTCTTTACGTAACTGTTTTAGGGCATACGTTTCTTCTTTAGAGATATTAGGCGTATTAGGTTTTTGATTCAAAATTACAGCTGCGATTTTAAACCGCAATGAATTTGCCTGATCATCCGGAACATTGCTTAAGACAGGCTCGATCAACGGGATAATTTCAGAAGCCGAAATCCGTGTTCTGTTCATATTGAAATTGAGACCTTTTTTAAGTATTGAAAGTTCGTGTTGATTTAACTGTCTATCCGAAAGATTTACCACTATTTTGTTTATATCGAGTTCCTTGGATTTAATTTTATTCTCATCATTGTTGGATTTCGACGGATGTTTAAACAATTGTTCAAATTTTCTCATTTGACGTCTTTTTGTGATTTGATTATAAAAGTTATCTCTATGTTTCAAAAATTCATTAACATTTGTTTTTAATTCTGGTGGTATAATTAATGATAACGCACTATCAATGTTTGCTATACGTGAACGTAGGGATTCCAAGTTTAAAGTGGATTTATGTATACGTTCTCTAAGGAATACTCTAGTAGCTGTAATAGCTGCTTTTTGTGAACGTATAGAATTGTCTGGAGTCTTAACTCTTAGCGTTTTTGGATAAACATGCTGGTTTAAACAGCGTAGATTGAAAATTCGGTGGTTATACCAATCGTACATTTTCTTCGATAATTTTATGCGATTGCAAAATAATAAATAAGAACTTTCGTCTAAATTTGAACGAATAGTTTCACAATATTTGGGCGCCGAGTTAATTTGAGACATTAAAAAGAAGAATATATTTGTAAAATCTCAGCGAATGAATTTTAAGTAAATTCAACGTTTCGCCTGGCAATCTGGTCCAAGCTTTTAGCTTGATCTCCCAAACAAAGCTGGTTATTTTAGCCAAACAGTCTCATTTTTTAAAGCACACTTCTGAGGATTATTGTGTTGGACTACCGAAAAAAGAATATGTATCAATGAGCAATTCAAATCTTTAAATATAACGTAGAGTTTCTGAATGAAAAACTTACAAACATAAGTAGTTTTTAGCATTTCACCAATTCTGCATTCAGAAGCAACATATACATTCGTATATTCTACCATGTTTCTAGCTCTCCTAATTTTCTTTGTATAATCGTAAGATTCTATTACCACTAGTTTGTTTCCACTTCATCTGCTTTGTGTTTGTTAATTGGACTATTGACTTGCATGTATTATTTGCAGACTTTTTTTCATGCTACTATTTTCAGTATTGTTTAAAATATCACTCACCTTGAAATTTATGAATACTCTATTAATAACGCAGTTCTAATCTCATGTTCAATATAGTATCATATATGTTAAATAATTATAGACAAGGTTGCATAAATTTACTAAATAACTCACAAGAAGCTTCAGATCTTGGTTTCGCATTTGAGGTGAGTCATCAGCAAGACATGTTTGCCAGTTGGATAAAATGTATCTTCCTTTAGACATTTGAATATGCATCACTCAGTTCCGAAATCAGTGATATTTTCAATGAACCACCCAAACTGCGATTTTCATGTAATTTTAAAGTAGATAGACTACTTAATCATTGGATAGTAACTAATTTCATGTCTAGTCGTTAATGCTGATTGGACCATATGGATTAAAGTTCACAATGTCATCACGCAACTATGTACCTTCGAAAAACCGTGCAATTTATTTTGTTAGATTGTTGAAGGTGTATTACCGCAGTCGTCCCAGTTTGAGAAGATCTAATCCGATACCAAAATTACTTCATAGTTAAATTTTTGACTGTGTGTGGCTTATGTTAGATTGCTTGATGGAGTGAGAGCATTAGTTCCAGAAACTATGGAGATATACTTTTGCTGACGAGTCTTTGTGGATGCAAAAGTTAGTTTCAGAACATCCTACCGGATCCCTTCATCTATAGTCTAGTCTTCAATTTGTTGCTTACCTTAATGGTGAGATTACAAACACAACTGAGGGAATTCTATCAGTACCTGAGACGAGGAAATGAAATTAACTACTATTTAAGAGATTAGTATATTACTTGAATGTAATATGATACTGATTACTGGCGAAGATCAATGAACATTGCAAAATGAGCCTTTCATACAAACCGATGAGATTTTTATTGAATATATGACTTCTAGTAAAGCATATGGGTTACCTGTTTTTTCATTGAAGAAATTTCAATTAGGCTATTGTATTATATGTGATGAACAGCATATTTTTAGGCGCATTTTGAAAGTCCAATAATCTGTTGTTTTCCTTGAGCATAACATGTATCATATATATTCCTTACTAATATTCAAAAACTACGAAGATTCCATATCTGTTGTTGAATGCTTTAAAATTCGCTCGCAGTTCATTAAACGTAGTTGTTAATAAGTGTGTGTTAGTTGGAGTGTCTATGTGACAAAGCTAGTCCTTCTTTTAGTACAAAAAGTCAGAGCTACTATTTTTCGGATTTTTAATGTTTTAGTGAAACTAACGGAGTGTTCAGCTTGGAACTGAACATTTCAACCAGTAGATACATGGTTTATTAGTTCATCCACTTCTACTGCTACTACTACTACTACTACTACTACTACTACTACTACTACTACTACTACTACTACTACTACTACTACTACTACTACTACTACTACTACTACTACTACTACTACTACTACTACTACTACTACTACTACTACTACTACTACTACTACTACTACTACTACTACTACTACTACTACTACTACTACTACTACTACTACTACTACTACTACTACTACTACTACTACTACTACTACTACTACTACTACTACTACTACTACTACTACTACTACTACTACTACTACTACTACTACTACTACTACTACTACTACTACTACTACTACTACTACTACTACTACTACTACTACTACTACTACTACTACTACTACTACTACTACTACTACTACTACTACTACTACTACTACTACTACTACTACTACTACTACTACTACTACTACTACTACTACTACTACTACTACTACTACTACTACTACTACTACTACTACTACTACTACTACTACTACTACTACTACTACTACTACTACTACTACTACTACTACTACTACTACTACTACTACTACTACTACTACTACTACTACTACTACTACTACTACTACTACTACTACTACTACTACTACTACTACTACTACTACTACTACTACTACTACTACTACTACTACTACTACTACTACTACTACTACTACTACTACTACTACTACTACTACTACTACTACTACTACTACTACTACTACTACTACTACTACTACTACTACTACTACTACTACTACTACTACTACTACTACTACTACTACTACTACTACTACTACTACTACTACTACTACTACTACTACTACTACTACTACTACTACTACTACTACTACTACTACTACTACTACTACTACTACTACTACTACTACTACTACTACTACTACTACTACTACTACTACTACTACTACTACTACTACTACTACTACTACTACTACTACTACTACTACTACTACTACTACTACTACTACTACTACTACTACTACTACTACTACTACTACTACTACTACTACTACTACTACTACTACTACTACTACTACTACTACTACTACTACTACTACTACTACTACTACTACTACTACTACTACTACTACTACTACTACTACTACTACTACTACTACTACTACTACTACTACTACTACTACTACTACTACTACTACTACTACTACTACTACTACTACTACTACTACTACTACTACTACTACTACTACTACTACTACTACTACTACTACTACTACTACTACTACTACTACTACTACTACTACTACTACTACTACTACTACTACTACTACTACTACTACTACTACTACTACTACTACTACTACTACTACTACTACTACTACTACTACTACTACTACTACTACTACTACTACTACTACTACTACTACTACTACTACTACTACTACTACTACTACTACTACTACTACTACTACTACTACTACTACTACTACTACTACTACTACTACTACTACTACTACTACTACTACTACTACTACTACTACTACTACTACTACTACTACTACTACTACTACTACTACTACTACTACTACTACTACTACTACTACTACTACTACTACTACTACTACTACTACTACTACTACTACTACTACTACTACTACTACTACTACTACTACTACTACTACTACTACTACTACTACTACTACTACTACTACTACTACTACTACTACTACTACTACTACTACTACTACTACTACTACTACTACTACTACTACTACTACTACTACTACTACTACTACTACTACTACTACTACTACTACTACTACTACTACTACTACTACTACTACTACTACTACTACTACTACTACTACTACTACTACTACTACTACTACTACTACTACTACTACTACTACTACTACTACTACTACTACTACTACTACTACTACTACTACTACTACTACTACTACTACTACTACTACTACTACTACTACTACTACTACTACTACTACTACTACTACTACTACTACTACTACTACTACTACTACTACTACTACTACTACTACTACTACTACTACTACTACTACTACTACTACTACTACTACTACTACTACTACTACTACTACTACTACTACTACTACTACTACTACTACTACTACTACTACTACTACTACTACTACTACTACTACTACTACTACTACTACTACTACTACTACTACTACTACTACTACTACTACTACTACTACTACTACTACTACTACTACTACTACTACTACTACTACTACTACTACTACTACTACTACTACTACTACTACTACTACTACTACTACTACTACTACTACTACTACTACTACTACTACTACTACTACTACTACTACTACTACTACTACTACTACTACTACTACTACTACTACTACTACTACTACTACTACTACTACTACTACTACTACTACTACTACTACTACTACTACTACTACTACTACTACTACTACTACTACTACTACTACTACTACTACTACTACTACTACTACTACTACTACTACTACTACTACTACTACTACTACTACTACTACTACTACTACTACTACTACTACTACTACTACTACTACTACTACTACTACTACTACTACTACTACTACTACTACTACTACTACTACTACTACTACTACTACTACTACTACTACTACTACTACTACTACTACTACTACTACTACTACTACTACTACTACTACTACTACTACTACTACTACTACTACTACTACTACTACTACTACTACTACTACTACTACTACTACTACTACTACTACTACTACTACTACTACTACTACTACTACTACTACTACTACTACTACTACTACTACTACTACTACTACTACTACTACTACTACTACTACTACTACTACTACTACTACTACTACTACTACTACTACTACTACTACTACTACTACTACTACTACTACTACTACTACTACTACTACTACTACTACTACTACTACTACTACTACTACTACTACTACTACTACTACTACTACTACTACTACTACTACTACTACTACTACTACTACTACTACTACTACTACTACTACTACTACTACTACTACTACTACTACTACTACTACTACTACTACTACTACTACTACTACTACTACTACTACTACTACTACTACTACTACTACTACTACTACTACTACTACTACTACTACTACTACTAGTAATACTGTTATTCTGGGGTTTAAATAATCCTATACGAGAATTTACATTGTCGATTCGATCAGCACATATCATTCTGCAACTATTTCCATTGTAAATTTATTTTAATTGAATAACTATATATTGTATTTTAATTAAATTATGATTCATCACAATCACAAAGCAGATGCCATCTTCCGATATCCGTTTCTGGAGCTCATTCATACATAAATATTCTGGGATAACAGCAGTACTTCTTGTTTTGTATAGTCAGTTTACATTATTTATCCACTTGGTCTTATCTGACTCGTTCCTACTAAATATCTGGGAAGTGTACAATAGTAGTCAGAGTATTTCAATACCTCAGTTAATATTTATATTTGATGGTGATAAGTAAATTGAATTAAATCTCAGTAAGCTGTTCGTGAAAGCTTCTCTCATAAACGTTGCCACGGAATCTCCCTCACACCGGGCTTTCATCGTTAATCATTTTTATTTACATAATAGTGCTTTGAAATAAAGTTTAAAATTTCTTGATTTAGGAAGACATTGTGAATGGTTTTTGGTTACTGAATTTCCAGGGACTTGTTATTTATAGACTAGCACACAAACAGATTATAATCGTATATTCAAGCTAACAATTAGGATTTGTTTATGATACACGAATTGATTTTATTATTACAGTTGTATTGTATATATTTAAAATTTATTTAGCAATCAACATTACCTAGTTATATCTATAATAACCAGTATTGTTGTGAAGCGATTTCCACTATAAAAAAACCAATCTTTTGAAAATGAAGTTGGTAGTTGCAGAAGATTTATCCTGTTTAATTTTATTTTATTCCATCAATAATGACACTAAACTAACAATAACTTGAACAGTTGTAATTGTTGGAACTTCGTTATGTTTTGATAGTTCAGAGTTGTTGCCACTACGTTCATTTTATTTATAAGAAAAAAACTGTCTTATTGTGTTCTGTGGGACAGTGGCTTAATGGCTGACATGGTTTGTAACCAATAGGTCATAGATCGAAGTATCGTTTCACTTCAGTCTAGGCAGTCGAGTAGTGTCACTTGTTGTATATAATCAAAGAACCTGTCAAAGAATGGTATGGGCAGATTTTGATAATATATTATTATTCTCCAAACGAGGTGGTTTAGTTGGAAAGATTTAATTTTCGTTTTAAATGACATCACCGACGCCTACTTTAAATAGAAGTATGGACTGCAGAGAATAAAAGTGTATTCAGTACCCTAACTATAGTTTGGAAATTACGAGTCTCAAATTGATTTTTTCAATTACAAAACAATGCATGATCAATCCATTGTAGAATAAGAAAAGAAACATAATAATATATGCAAGTTGTAAATTTTATTTTAAACATCTTCAAAAGTCAGATTTCATTTAAATTGGCTGACTCTATAGAAAACTACGATGAGAAGTTACTTTGTATAGAAAAATGTTCTGTTTGTTAGTTTATGTCGTAAGAGACAACAACAACAACAACAGTAATAAGATCCTAATAGGTTCCCTACATTTTATGTTAGAAATTATTTCCAAGTAATGTAGTTGCATCTTTACATATGTCTATAAACACGTATGTCTATCTAATTTATCGGTTGCTGTTGTTTTGTTTAAAAGAAGTGATTTGATATAATTCCAATAGCATCGAATATGTGTTGTGCTTTGCAATGATTCAACTGTAATTTATCAAAACATGTCTGCATGAGAATATTGATCTAAATATTGACATTGTAAAATGTATATTTATATCAGCTTACAATATTTATATATAAATGACATGCCATCAATAATAAAATCGCGAGATCATCAGTTCTGTATTTCATTTTTTTTGTTTCTTAAAAAAAATTCTAATTGTTGCGTAGGTTGGCAAGAGAAGAAATCCACAAAAGAATGAGACTCAAAAAGTGTAATTAAAGTAAACATTATTAATCCATCTATAATATTAATTTTACATCATTATGTATTTATTAAAAATCCTATTTACAAATGAATATACAACGAAATTTGTTTATCGATTTATGTCTGTGTATTAAGTTTCCATAAACATTTTCTACCTAGTGAATTGAAAAAAACAAATCACTGTACAGATTATGATTTGTTTTTTCTTTTCTTTCCAAATGCAAACATGAAATGTTTATATGTTATATTTTATATTGATCGAATAGTATCATTATGTAAATGATATGTTTCATGTACAAAATGGAACAATAATGATTAAAGCTTAAATTCTATGAGTTCATAGATTTGTTTTAATGAATGATATTATTAAGTGATTGAAATCTATACATCATTGTCAATGACATATACATCTGAAAGACTTGCACAAAACAAGAACGTACAGATTTATGGAATAAAATGAATTTGTTATTTAGATGTAAAACATATATATATATATATATGTAATTTTCTAGTTGTTTAATATAGTATCTTGTAACTCTTAGAATTCTACAATTTATCATCACATTGTAAATAAACAATTATCTATCTTTATAACGATTTACAAAATTTAACTTTCTCTATCGATTCAATTCATTAATTTACTAGTTTCTTTGGAACTGAATGTTGTTTTTAACACATTTAAAGTATTGTCCGCTTGCATATATATATATATATATAAACAATTATATATATATATATATATATATATATATATATATATATATATATATATATATATATATGCAAGCGGACAATACTTTAAATGTGTTAAAAACAACATTCAGTTCCAAAGAAACTAGTAAATTAAAAGATAGATAACTGTTTATTTACAATGTGATGATAAATTGTAGAATTCTAAGAGTTACAAGATACTGTATTAAACAACTAGAAAATTACATATATATATATATATATATATATATATATATATATATATATATATATATATATATAAGAAACGACTGGAAAATCTTAAGGTTAAAATACTTCACTGCCTTCCTTAAATTATGGTGTATGTTTCAATCTATCCGTTACGATAGTCAGTCAGAGGTAAAATTTTATCTGAGACGAATACTTATAGATTTAAGTTGTCATATACCATATAAAGCAAAGAACTTAACAGAATTAGAAATGGAAATTAGGGAAAATTTTAACATGTACAGTGAGATAATGAAATATAAAACAAATACAATCTTTAATGATCCTCTTATTGACTGATTAAAATTCAGTCAAGTACATCAAATCATTACAAACTGAATTAAAGTACATGTCCGTTTGTACAAGCTAGTGGCTATCTCGACTTAATAACGTAGTGCATAACACGATAGGCATTTGACGAATTGGGTTCGAATCTAACTGTGGATATCAGCATCATGATGAAGGTGATGAGTTCCAAATAGGACGGAATACACCTCCTGGATTCCACTAATAACTGTCGAATATCTAGGATTTTCAGTATGTTTACTAAATAAAGGTTTCACTTCAGCTTGGTTGACCCCAGTGTACAATAGTATATAGTCACAAATTAAATATTAGTCGGAAATATTTCAAAGTTTACCCTTAATGCAGTGTACATGTTAATGAAATTAAGGTAGTAACACTGAAAATTTTTGTTTGTTTAGAAAAAAAGATCTACAAATGGCATTTTTAGACACTATATTAATATAACTTACCAGATAAATATCTCTCAATCTTTCATAATAATTAAAAGAATTCATAGTAACTAAATACTTCTAACCTTATCTTGGTAAAATAAGTAGGCTAAATAATCTCCCATTACTTCGATAATAATGTATTGATTTAACTTAATAAAATTGATTTTTTTTATACTTTTAAATACCTTAAATTGAATTAGTTGAAATTTATTCACCTTAACTTTTTAACAATTCTTCTATGGATTTAGTTCATTAACCATTCACTTCTCTTACATACATGCAAACTTGCATCTTTTTCTATGTTTCACATTTTTATAATTTACTTTCTCATCATAAATAAAACTATTCTGTGTATAATTTTTTGAATAACAATTTGTAAGATTTCATTTTCTATATTGATTTGACTCATTGTTTTACTAATGTCAGTGGAATTGAATATCATCTTCAATACAGTTAAATTCATTTTCCTTTTAGCTTGATTTATTTACAACTGAAGATAAATTACGAAATACTAGTGAATTCGTTTTCTTTTATCCTATAAATTTTTATATTCTTGTTTTGTCCAATTTTACTAAGGAGACTAAATGAATGAAGTAGTTGTATGTGTGAACCAAAAATTTGCTTTAAAACTTTAACAATTTTATGTTTGTATTATAATACAATTGACAAAAAGTCAATGAACAACCAATGTGTAAGTAATTAAGTTTGAAATATTAGAACATTCCTGTTTACAAATTACATCCTTTATCAAAACAATTTACTTGGTTAGGACTAGTATCTATGTAATCGACAAACTAACTAATGCAGTTTGAAAGTAATGAAAATCATTATTTGGATACTAAGTCCAGAGGCCTGTTTCCATTTACTCTAGACACGAATCATGTTTGACACTGAAAAAACTGATTAAAAATATTTATCTTTAGGATTATTAAGATAGTAACTGGGGGATTTGTCTATTCCTAAATTTTGTATGTGAAACTGTTGAACAATTGAGTTCTGTTGACTAATCATAGGTTTTGTGCATATTAATGATTACTAACAAGATGTGTTCGTATGACGAATGGTTTCCAGACTCCGTTATTTATGCGTTGTCTGTGTTGTGTTCGCAGTCTTTCTGCCCATACTTGGAAACGGAAACCATTGTAATTCCTAAGGTGCAAAGTCAGAACATGAATGACTAGTGGAATGAAGATTTACCTGATCTCCAAAAATATAACCTATAAACAAGTCAAAAATCACGTTGTCATTAAACGAAATACACTGATTTTACACACACACACACTTTATGGACATCATACAAGTGAAAAGATAGGTTTACCGTAATAGATATATGAATTTCACATAGAATAGTACAAAGAGCATAATTGTCATATTGGACGAAAGTTCACACCATTCATATTGAATGAAACTCGCACTTAACTGATAATGAA